TGGGAGGCACTGCACTATCTTACTCAGTCTCCTCAACAACCCTCTAATCATTCCTATTTTACAGATAAGGAAGGTGAGAAACTTAGCTCTCAGTGTGGATCTGGGATTTGAACCCACACATGTTGGCTCCTCAATGCCTGACACCTGGTTCCTACCTCTGCTTCTTGTCACTGAGCATAATCCCTGTCCCGTCTCCCTCCTCCTTGAACACTTAACTACTTTTTAAAAATAATAATAATATATATCTATTCTTCTGATTTCAGAATGAAGATGTACACATAAAAATTCAAGCAATATAAACTTCCTATTTTTTAAAAGACAAATTAAGTCCCCTCTCAGACCTCAAAATAATTACCATCAACTATTTGGTACATTTCCTTCCGGACCTATATAAAAATTTATGAATAAATAATTTTTCTAAAAATGTACTTTCTCTGTATGCACTTTTCTGGCAATTGCTTTATTCACTTATTAATTTGTTGTGAACTATTTCTTGTGTTTAGAACATCTATATCTTCTGCATTCTATTTAACAGCTTCAGTTCCCCATTGTTAACATAAATTATTTAGTCAGTGCCATACTGATGAATTAGTTATTTCCAGTTTTTCATTATTTCAAACAGTGCTGCAGTTAGCGCCCTTGTGCATTTAGCTCTGCACACTTGTGTGACTGTTTCCATAGGATAAATTCCTGGAAATGGAATTTCTGAGTCAAAACTATGCACATTTAAAATTTTAATAAATATTTTAAAACTGACCTCCAGAGAGACTGTATTAATTTACATTTACACAATGAGTGCCTGTTTTCTGTACATATTTGCCAGATTGATTTTTGAATTTTTTTCAGATTTGTCTGATAGATGAAAACTATTTTATTATTGCTTTGTTTTGCATTACGTATTAAGGATGAACATGTTTGTCAGTAATTTCTGTTTCTTGGGTGACTTGTCTGTTCACGGCTTTTGTTCACATTTGTTTGGGTTGTTTTTCCTTTTTTCTTATAAACACAAATCTTTCTGATTATTACATCAGTCTTTTTCATATGTGTTAGAAGTATTTTCCTAGTTCAATGTTTGTAGTTTGACTTTGCCATATAGAAGTTTTAGCTGTGAAAGGGATCAAACTTAAAAGTCTTTTGGTTTATTTGTTTCTGGTTTTCATGTCATTTTATTTACTTATTTATTTATTGGTTGAATGGATTGTTCTTTTCTATAATAATTGATCCATGTCATTTTAGAAGGGCCTCCTCCCTCTCAAGTCTATAAGAATGTTCACCCACTTTTCCCTTTTCATGTTTTGTTTTTACATTTAAATTTTTGGTATAGTGAATGAAATAGAAATCCAGCTTCCCATACTCTCCCTTGACTGGCTAATTGTTCAAGAAACAATTGTCAATATAATGTTTTCCCCACCACTAAAGTGCCACTTTTATCATATAGGTGCTAAATTCCCATATGCGTTCGCCACTATTTCTGGACTTGGTTCTGATGGACTGTGCCAGTCCTGTGCCAATCCCAGCTCACTATGCTTTTATTTCAACCTACAGTATTTGGTAGCCAGGTCTCCCTGTTTACTCATCTGTTTCAGAGTGTTCTGGTTTTTCTCATTTTCATTCTTGGTGAACTTTTGAGTTATTTTGTCAAGTTTCCCAAATTATCCTTTTGGGATTTAGAGACTGACTGCATGGAATTTTATGGATTTAGGGAAAACTTACATCTTTTATCGTCTTCTTATCAAAGAACTAGTTATTACTCTGTTTATTCAAGTCTTCTTTGGTTGAGTCACTCAGAGGACTTCAGTTTTATTGACTGATCAAATATAGGTCATGTACATTTATTGTTAAAGTTACTCCTAGATATTTTACTTTTCACTCTTGTAAATGAGATATTTCCTTCCATTAATTTTTTAACTAATCATTAAAAAGCTGCTGGAAATCCTGTTACTTTTCAACAACATGGATGGAACTTGAAAGCATAATGCTAAGTGAAATAAGTCAGAGAAACACAAATACTGTATGATCTGACTAATAATGTGGAATCAGAAAAAAAAGAAAAAAAAGAAAACCAGACTCCAAGATAAGAACAGATTGGTGGCTGTCTGAGGTTGGGGGGGGGGGGAAATGGATGAAGGTAGTGAAAAGGTCCAAACTTCCAGTTATGAGATAATTAAGTCCTGGGGACATAATGTACAGCATGGTGACTACAGTTAACAATACTGTATTGTACGTTTGAAAGTTGCAAAGAGAGTAGATCTTAAAAGTCCTCATCACCAGAAAAAAACTGTAACTATTTGTGATGATGGATGTTAACTAAACTTACTGGGGTGTAAGTTTTTGTAACTGAGATATAACTGACATATAACATTGTAGGTGTACAACATAATGATTTGCTATATGTATATATTGTGAAATGATCACCACAGTAAGTGTGATCTCTGTCCACACCTTCTCTTGGCCTTCTCTTGGCTCAGTCTTGGCCTTGAGTACCATTTTTGTGTTGATGACTTGTAAGTTACATAGTCTTGTCTTCTCTCCCAAACCATCAACATTTTCTGTCTAACTTGTTTCCTAAATTTCAAAAATTCTCATACCACGTCATAATTTTTCATATTCTGTATACCACCTGTACTATTATTTATTTGTTTCCTATTTCTCTTTAAATCAACTCATTAAAAATAAATTTAGCCTTCTCTTGTGCAATGACAGCTGTGAAACTACAAATAGTCTGATGTGCTGATTATAATGTTTCTAATATGAATGAAAATAAATACAAAACTATTAAAGCTTTAAAAAAGTTCTTCATACCTCTTAAAAACATCTCTGGTATCACCCATTTTTGAATCTCTGGTCTAGCTGGCCGCAAATCTTTCAACCTGAATATTCACCATTGCTTCAAATTCCACAGTCTTCCCTCAAAGTCCTGCTCAACCCCAAGTTCCAGGCTTTGTCAAGGTGATCATTTCCTCAATCATATGAGCTCCAAACTTGGGCTTCGCAGATGCCCCATTTGGCTCCTTCATCCCCATCCGGAGGATATTTTCTTTCAGCTGCATCTTGCAAACTGTCCCTTGCCTTCCATTCTCCGAGACACTCTTTTTATCCTCCTCCCTGGATTCCTTCCTGAGGACCAGCATCTTGCTTTGAGGCCCATCTTTCTGAACCAACTTCATCAAGGTTGACTCACTGCCCTCTGCATTATTTAAACACAGTTGCTGCCCCGACCCCATCCCCGCAGATAATCATACTGTGATCTGGGAACTTTCCCTCCCACCCCTGCTCCTCCAAACCTTACCTGTCCTTTGAGGCTCACTGTCCAGGAAGCCTTGTCAGATGAGTCCAGCCCTCTCCCTCTCTTACTCCTGGAGCACTGTCCAGTGTCGGCTCAGGTATCTCATCTCCCTGAATAGACTATAAGCTGATTGAGGACAGGCTTCAGTCTGAATCTTCCTTCTGCATCGGCCATGGCCGTGCATACATCAGATGCTCAGTAAATGCTTGCTGGGTGACTGCATGGTGGCATTCCCAAAGACTTACCTCCAACTCCACCTCTCCCCATCACTTGCCATAGTAACCCTCCCTGCACAACCTCCAACTCCCACCAAGCCAGGGCGAGAGGGAAAATAAAACAGGTGTAAGAAAGACGGAGCACACTGAAATAGAAGAAGCCGGTTCTAGGATCGTTAGTCTTTTAATATATTATTCTGAAAAGAAAGGAATTTAAAAAAAGTTCCTGACATCTCTTCTGTGTGTTTTTTTAAATTTAAATAAATACCCTGCCCGCCCCCCACCCGCTAAAATTTCCCTCCTTCCCCATCATCCCACCCATCCCTGGTGCTAGTCCCTCACCCTCCCCAGCCAGCTAAGTAAGATGCCTGTTTCAGAGCAGGCCAGGCTCACTACCAAATACTGGCACCTTGTAAATACTGCAATTGAGTCCTCTGGCCCTCAGCTCACCAGAGCCCCTCCGGTCTCCTGTTCCACCCCGCCTTGCAGACCAGTCCCCAGCTTTAGGCGGGGCATGGATAGTGGGGCCTTTAGGCATTGGGGAGAGTGAGTACCAACTTGATTCCCTTTACTTGCCTGCGATTCCCCACTCCCTGTTCAGGAGTAGGCCAGAAGGGCCCAGAATTGCCCTCCGGACTAAAATAAATAACAAAATAAATACCACCTCCCCCATCCCCCACTTTCTAAAAGGGCCCCTCTACCTCTCACTCTCTAGTCCCTGTCCGTCACTGACCCTCCCCCCTTCTTCCTCCCTAGCCCTTCCCTCCTCCCCCGTGCTGACCTCCAGCTTGGCCTTCGCCCTCTCCAGAGGAGGGTTCTACTTCGCTCAGTGGGGAGAGCAGCCGAGGGCCTCACTCCCAACCTTGAGCAAACCCTCCCCCAAATTCCTGGGGGGTGCTGCTTGGCGCCCCAAGCCCGGTGGGCCCGGCAGACTCCCGTCTCGGGGGTTAGGGTGCAGGGCAGGGGTTCTCCCTGGCTCGCTCTCACCTGGTCCTTCAAGCGTCCCTCTTTCAAGGCAAGTTTCCGGGAGGGCCGGTCACCCCTG